CTCTGCTTCCCCCTTTGACTTCATGTCCTCTTTTATATTTTTTCTTTTTTAAAGGCCTATGGAGTCTAATTTGCATTCCTCAAATACTCTTGAGTGTGAGTTCATCCCCTGGAGCCTGATCAACCTACCCAGAGTCACAGCCTTAGAGTAAACTGATGTATCCTCTTACAGCAGCTACCAATAGCCAATAGTTCCTCACATCATACTGGGGCTTCCTGCCCAGCTCCCCACTCTATAGTGGGATTTTTGTCTGGTTTGGGCCTGTGCAAGTCTTGTATATGCTGTCACAACCACTGTGGGTTGTGTGTAATTGCCATGTTGCATCCAGAAAACTCTTCTTTTCAGTAGCATGCATAGTGCCTTCCAGCACTATGAAAACTAGTCAGTAGAAATGAGGCTTTGAAGTCAGTACCAGCTTGATTTCTCCTTATTTGTTCTACAGTTCATGCATGTAGTATCTTCAGCAATAGGGTCTTACCAAGAACTTCTGGTGGGTAACCAAGAATAGAGGCAATGACTAGTAGTGTCTGAGGGTCTATGGACCCCTGGTCAACAACTTTAAGAGAGGGAGTCTGTTCCTAGTATTGGAGTTTTATTTTGTTAGCCTATGGTGTCTAACAGGGGCAATGTCCCCCTGTTATAAGGTAAATCTGTTTAATCTCTCTTTATATGTGTATATATATATTTTAAGAAGCTCCTACAGTGGTAAGTATCCATATGGCTTTTTCTAAAAGCCTTTAATGCTGATTATCCCTGCCCATCTTCCTTCCTCTGCCTGCCCTCCCATTCCCCCACCCCATTTAACCGTTCCTACTTTATCATTTTCATCTCTCTTTATATCACTACATTCTACCACCCTTCTCAGGAAGCTTCCCCCCATACCTCCATGGCCATTTGTTACTTTCCTGACTTCTCTGGATTTTCAAATTGAAGCAAGCATATCTAGGATTCAAAGCTATCATCCAGTTATGAGAAAGAAGATACAATTTGATTTTCTGGATCTGGGTTCCCTCACTCAGGATGATTGCTCCCAGTTTCATCCATTTACCTGCAAATTTCATAATTTCTGATTTTTAAAGAGCTGAATAAAATTCCATTGTGTAGTGTAGCAGGAGGCCTCCAAAGATGGCGCGGACCCAGAGCCCTGGGATTCAGCACGAATTCACTTCACTTCTTGGTCTGCAAATAGCCCTCCAAAAGGAGCCCACGCCTCTGTACCCTGCTCCCAAGCCCAGTGGCTGCTGACAGACTGTGTGGTGCGGACCAATCAGAAAAGGATTCGCTGACTACAGGGACTTGGGGGCGGAGAAAAGGGAAATATAAGGCCTGCCTCCTCCTGCATTAAATGAGCCTGCAGCACCTCGCCTAGTGCTTACTTCTACCCGACTCCCAGGGTCTGTGTGTTGTGGCTCCACGCCTCTTGCCCCCTAATCGGCAGGGGACCCGATCCAGGTTAGGGACTTCACAGCTGGGCTAAAGAGAACCCGCAACAGTATACATATTCCACACCTTCATTATCCATCAACAGTTGTTGGACATCTAGGTTGTTTCCAGTTTCTAGTTATTATGACAAGGACAGCAATGAACATGGATGATCAGGTATCTCTGTAGTAGGTAGTCTTTTGGGTACATGCCCAGGAGTGGTATGGTTGGATCATATAGTAGATCAATTTCTAGCTTTTTGAGAACTCTCCACAGATTTCCACAGTGGCTGCACCAATTTGCACTGCCACCAGCAGAGGATAAAGAGTTCCCCTTTCTTCACATCCTTGCCAGCATTTGTGGGTTTTTTATCTTATGCTCCCACTACTGAATGACCTATGATACTTAAACACAATCCCCCAAAAGGTAGTTCCTGTCTCCTTTTTACCTTACCCCAAATGGTGTTCAATCAAATGTATTTTTTAAAAATAAGATATATTTTCTTTTTGTTTAAAACATCTTTAAAATTTTTTATTATTTTTATGTGTATGAGTGTATTTTCTGTATGTATATAAGTGTACCCATGTCATGCAATGCCCATGGAGGTCAGAAGAGGGTGTTGGATACCCTGGAACTGGAGTTTCAGACAGTTGTCAGCCACCATGTGGGTTTTGGGACTCAAACTCAGGTCCTCTGCAAGAACAGCTAGTGCTCTTAACCACTGAGCCATCTCTCCAGTCCCCAAATAAGATATATTTTCTAATTTTAGGTGTCAGTAGTATTAAATCACAGAGCAAAACAATTATCATCACACACCTGGACAATTTCAACTGCCTTTTCATTGATTTGTCCCTAAATTGACTGCATTACCAATTTAATTTCCTTGGTCATTCCTCTGCTTTCTGCATGTCCATATATTCATGTGTATATGTGCACGTGTATACACACACATGTGAAGGCCAGAGATCAACTTTGAATGCTGTTCCTCAGATGCTATCAACTTTGGTTTTGAGACAGGAGCCTGCCCATTATGCTAGGCTGGCTAATCAGTGAGGCCTAGAGATCCACCTGTCTCTGTCTCCCCACTGCTGGGATTACAAACATGAGCCACCAAGCTTTTTTTTAATTTGTTTTTTTGTTTGTTTTACGTGGGATCTGGGGATCAAACTCGGGCTACTTACTTAAGGCCAAGACAAGTTTGAGTCTCTTAAAATAACAATCTAATTCAACTCTTTTCTTTCTCATACACAATCAATATCTTTAGTGTATGAAATCCATGGCATCATAAACATCTGATAAAGAACAAAAACCCTAGATTTTTTAGTGTATATAAATTATACAAAATGGTTTATGACACTTTCATCTATATACTGATCATATTTGCACATGTCCCCTTTTCCCTCTTTTAAACTAGAATTCCTTTTCATCTTTCAACCATTTGAAGGTTAAGTTCTTTTAATATGGTATAAAGTTGTCTTAAATTCTATCATTAGTTAGATCAGCTTTCTAAAGTCTTTGGAAAAGCTTAATTTAATACAATTGTGACACATTAATACTCTGAAGAAGCAATAGAGACCCTCACTCAAGTTCTGGTTTGCATGTTGAGACTGATAAGCCCACACACATGCACCAAAATATCATAAGAAAAGATTTTCTTTACACAGAACAAGGATTTCTGGGGAGAAAATGGTCACTATCTTAAAATGGCTTAAGTAAGCATTTGAGTTGGTGAGAGTTCCAGTATGTACTTTAAACTTCCTGCTGGTGGGGCTGGAGCGATGGCTCAGCTGTTAAGAGCACTGGCTGCTCCTGCAGAGGATTCTGGTTTGGCTCACAGCACCCACATGGCAGCTAACAACTGCCTGTAACTCCAGTTCCAGGGGATCTGATGCCTTCTTCTGACCTTTGAGGGCATTGCACAACATGGGTGCACTTACACACATGTAGGGAATACACTCATACACATAAAATAAAAACAATAGAGTTTTTTTTTTTTTTTAAATCTAAACTTCCTGCTGGTAGCAAGGAGGAAGCAATTGACTTTCTTAGCAGTTTGATCAGATATGGAAAAGGAGGTTTAAAAATTTGTCAGCAACTACACATAAAAATATAGAGTCATATTCTCTATTATTGATAACTCAATTTAAAAAGCACAAAATACAAAGATATTGAGTAATATGTTGACACAATCTCATCAAAATTTAAATATCCTAATTTAAGTTATATCTAATTGATTGACAAATATACAACATAAAATGTAAACACAAAATACAAACATGAAATGAAATGCAAAAATACAGATATAAATATGAAAATGTAAGTATGAAATGTTGCTTGTTGAAGATGGAAAACAAAATTTTTTTATTCTTCAAAAAAAGTTTAACCAAGAACCAGGACTACCACTAACAGAACAATACAATTTTCAGGTATTAGTCTTTTACATTATAATTTTCTTCTAACATTAAAGATATATTAATATAATTGATAAAATTCAAATTTTACCATTTTTGCATTTAGAAGAAAATAATACACTTTTATTTTCAAAAACATAAATTCTTGTAAATTATTATTAGAATACCATTCTGCATCCTACAACAGTGAAGCATAAGTGAAGCTTTAAAAAGAATTTTTAATTGTTAAAGTATAAATTCTGCATGAATTCTACACAGTTATCATTAAAAGGTCTTTATATGGTTTGAAGGAATTCTTGTTCTTATCAAAATAAAATATTACCCAAATGAAACAAGCTCTAGGAAGATGTGAATTACTATTACAATAAAGATCAATGGAAAAAGTATTGAAGTCTCTTTAAATAAGAGGTCTGTGTGACATGGCTTACAAAATCAAAATAAATGGTTAATTATACAAATAAAAATATTAATATCTGAATAACTTTACATAAGTAAAATAATGCATTATTAAGTAACAAAAATCTTTACATTTCCAATAATAATATAGACATATGCATATAGTCTAGATAATTGCAGAACACTAAATAGTTCAAAAAATTAACAATTAGTTCCAAAAAAGGAAAATTGTGTTTTATTTTGTGAGGGGGATGAAAAATCTTTTAAGGAAGAGGAAGGTATTATATTTTCATCCTGTTCAAAAGAAAATGGAAAGCTAAAATAATCTTTTCCAGCTCCAAATATACGAGTTGAAGCATCTGATGAAAAAGAAAATGTAAAGGCGTCTTCTCCTTGTGATTTCCCAAATAAGTTTCCTGAAGAAGATAGATATTACAATATCATACTATTCATTGTTATGTGAAACTTATATAGTCTATTGGATTAGGAAATACAGCATACAATAGAGTAACACTGAATCATTTATCTATTTAGAAAATATTTAAATGTGCTTCTCATATATGCAAGGCATTCTCCTCGGTGCTATGGAGGGGTAAAATACACTTAAATTTATGTCCTACTTACAACTAATCTGAATTCAAGTATTTGAAGAACAAGTATACATAACAGAAAGTGAGACAAAACATCTCAAATGAAGAGAATAGCGCACAGGTCCAAAAATAGGCATGCACAGGAAATAATAGGATAACACAAACCCAGTCAACCTGGCAGGGGACTGAAAAATAATGAAGATATATTAAATAGAACTTGGAAAGACTGTTGAATGTCTTACTATAGAATCTAGACTTGAATAGGTAACAGGAAACCATTAAGCATTTTCAAGCACAGATCTTAAACTGCTTTTTAAGAATTACTCAGGAAAGAATATAGAATGTCTGGAACAGGAGTCTAGAAGTAGCAATAACCAAAGGGAGAAAAGCCTATTGTTCAGCAATGATTAAGTAAAAATCTCTTGTACCTATCACCATAGCAATGGAAAAAGAGAAGATTTTTATTGAAAGTCAAACTTACCCAGCTATTACTTACTGAGCAACTACAATATATGCTTATGGAATTCTTCAAAAAAATTGACATATTAGTACAAAGTTCCATAGTTTGAAAGAAAAAGAAAATTTATGAGCTTTACATATAAAACTTTATGTACAGAATTTGCTTGATGAATCCAAGAATTGCATGAGAAAAAAAATGTCAATTTTCATTCATTATTCATAACTTAAAACTTTAAGAATAAAAACATTTTCCAATGTCTTTAAAATCAACAATTATTCAACTATTTAAAATCTATAGTAATACAAAGGCTTATTTTTAAATAAGTATCTTAAACATGCATATTTTTTCTTCCTTTTTTTTTTTCCTTTTTCTCTTTCGGTCTTTTTGAGTACTGGGACTAAGCCACAATACCCAGCTTTCCCCTCTCCCTCCTCCCCTCTCCCTCCTCCTCCTCCCCCTCTCCCCTCCCCCTCCCCACCATCTCTTTCTGGTCTTTAAATATGCGTATTTTTTTCCATACAAAACTGGTTAGTGCCCTAAACCAAAAATGTCTTCTTTGTGCCACTTTGAAATTTTTATGCATTTCTAACATATATTATTTTACTCTAAATAGAGCTGAGCCAACCAGCAGTAAAATGACTAGCTGGCTGGTTGGATGAACTGTTTGGTTGACACTGGCATTCTCATTTTATTCTTCTAACTTCATTACATAGCCATAGACTTAAATGGAGAAAAATACACCCAGAAAGAAACCTTGAATCTCCATGTATATGAATGAATTTTACTTCTTTTAATTTTGAAAGAAGTTCCTATGAAGTCTTCATAAAATTTCTATTCTCTTTACAAATAAAAATGTACTACTGTGTAAGGTCATATTCTAGGTGTTCTGAGGAATTCAAAGATAAACAGGTCTTTGTATTCAAATAACTTGTGATTTAGAGGATATCTTGTATGTATTCATGAATACCCAATCACATTATGTAGAATATAAATATATAAAAAAGAGACATTCAAGGCTGGAGAGATGGCTCAGCAGTTAAGAACACTGACTGTTTTTGCAGAAGAGCCAGGTTCCAATTCCAGCACCCACATGGCAGCTAACAACTGTCCGTAACTCCAGTTCCAGGGGATCCGAAAGCCTCTTCTGTCCTCAGTGGGCACTGCACGACATGGGTGCACTTACTTACATGCAGGCATAACACTCATACACATAAATTAAAAATAATAAATAAATTTTTTTTAAAAAAAGAGATTTAGAAAAGTGAAGGAGAGATCTTTGGGGAATGGAAGGTAGGAGGTAGAAATACAGGATTTTTTGGATGAGAAGCTGGTCTAGAAAGATGAAAAAGTTGGAAGTTGCAAGAAATAAGCAGGTATAAAGTTTGGGCATATTTGAGATATGCTGACTTCTTCAATCTGACCAAAGAACAGGTTATTTTTTTTTAAGGTTTCAAAGTTATATTGGAGTTAGGATAGAAAAGTAGGAGGCTAGAATGACAGTCAATGAGAGCCACTTAGGTGTATGACTGGAATAGCTGACATAATCAACACTCTGCATAAAGACGATCAAGCTGCAAAGTGTGGCGAGCGGAGAAGCTGTAAAGATCTACTAAGATGACACTGCAATAACCCTTAATACTGTATTTTCCAAGAAAACAGTGTTGTGCGACTCTTAAGTCATTCTTCCAAGTGGGCCAGCATCAACCCAGCCTTGAATTAACCCTTATTGTTAAAATTCTTAGAAAAGGAAAATAAATGTGAGTAAAAAGACTATGAAGTGCCTGGGCTTGGAAGATGGTTGCTGTGCTACAAGGGCATTAGGGAATACATCAATTAAAGACATTTGAACAGAGACAGAGAAGATGGGGATAGTAGCTACTGCAAAAAGTATTTTAGGCAAAGGGAGAAAGGTCTTGACATGGAAACATACCCAGCATGCTCAGTGAACAGCAAATAAATTGTATGATTGAAATGGACTGAGGAAGGAGAATAATGCAGAAAGATTAAATGAGGGTTTTGAAGAAAGAAATTATGTGCAACCTGTGGACCATTAACATTTTTGGATTTTCTTCTGAGTAAAATAGGAAAGCCACTGCAGGTTTTTTGAACAAAGGGCTGAAATGATCTGACAGGCACTGAAAGGATAACTATGGATTGCTCTATGGAGAGCAGACTATTGAAACAAGGCGAATGTAGAGAGACGAGCACTCTGGTAAATTAAGACATGTGGAAACTGATGATGGCTGTGAGTGGTAGCAGGAATGAGAACATCTGATTTGGCTTATGAAATTTTCTGGAGGTAGTGATGGAAGAATTTGCTTATGGAGTGGGTGTAAGGACTGAGAGGTAGGAACAAGAATGATGCCAAGGTTTGACATCAGTGACTTTAAAAATGGAGCTGCCATTTACTGAAATTTGGTGGTTAAAAGTTACTTTGAGACTGAGGCCACCTAGAGGTTTAGCCTTTCAGTGTTTTATTGAAAAGCCTCTTTAAAGATATCTAATTGAAAGTAAAGTAAGAAACTGTATTCATGAATCTGTAAGTCAGTAGGATAGATATACAGATTTTAAATTTTTAAAAAATATTTTTTATTTATTATTTTTATTTTATGTGTATACATGTATTACCTGTATGTAGGTAAGTGCACCCGTGTCGTGCGATGCCCACAGAGGACAGAAGATGCTGTTGGAGCCCCTGGAACTGGAGTTACGGACAGTTGTTAGCGGCCATGTGGGTGCTGGGATTCGAACCTGGGTCTTCTGCAAGAACAACTAATGTTCTTAACTGCTGAGCCATCTCTCCAGCCCCAGATTTTGAAATTTTTATGTGTTTAATGAATGCATCTACCAACTGCAGGCATTCATTAAATTTTTATCATCTAAAATTTAAATCTATCCTGATCACTGTAAGATTGTAAAGCTGGTATTATCTTTAGCACAATATACTTTGCCTAGTATTTTTAAAATTTTTTTTGAGACAGGGTCTCAATATGTAGGCCAGGCTGGCCTTGAGCTCATGGAGATCCTACTGCCTCTGCTTCCTGAGTGCTGGAATTAAAGGCATACACTACCATGCCTGGCTTGCCTATTAATATTTTGCATATTGTTATAATCAAATCAATAGACTGGATGGATGGATGGATGGATGGATGGATGGATGGATGGATGGATGGGTGGAAGGATGAATGCTGTGCTAGGAATCTGATCCAGGGCCTCAGGAATACTACAGACAAGCACTCTATCACTGAGCCATACCTCCAGCCCTAGTCTTAGGTTAATATAAGTAAATGACAGGTTTTGAAAATAGAATACTTTATTTCTTAATTGTTTATCTAGTGCTGAGGATCCAACCCAGGACCTTACTTGGGTAGTTGGTGGGCCTATCAATGAGACAAAAGATGCTATACTTGCTGTCACCTCTTATGTTGCATCCTTCTACAAAGTGAATATAACATTAGATTTTAAATTATAACATGAATCTAATTACCACTTCAAGCAGATAAAACTATTTACTGCACTAATGTACTATACACTGATTTATTTGTCTATCTTCTGTCTCTCACAACAGAGCACAAACCTGCTGAGGATCTTTCATTCTTGTCTACTGTTCTGTCACCAAAGCTAAAAGCAGTATCTGACACCAAATATAATACATATACCTAAAATATGTTGAATGAAATAACTAATCAAATAATAAAAGAAGAAAGATGACCAAATAAGAAGTATGCATCAGAGAGATAGGAGGAGATCCAAATTTCCAAAAAGAAGATGGGACTAATTAACCATATCAAATACTACAAAAAGACTAAATATGGTAACAAATGCAACATACTCATGTTTGATAACTAAGAAGTCAGTAACCCTGGAGGAAGCAAGTGTTGACAGAGTGGTGAGAGAAGCTAACCTGATGAAAGAAGAAAGAAAGAGGGAGGGAGGGAGGATGGTAGGAAGCGAAAGGAGAGCAGATCAGTTAGGCATATAGAAATAATGATGACTGCACATGCGTGCATGCGTGCGTGTGTGTGATGAGACTGAGGCACTAGTTACTATGATAATGAGGCTCTTTAACAAGTGATTTTTTTAAATGAATAAACCAAATGTCAAAAAATCAATTAAAGATAAACCAAATACTGAGAAGGAAATTTAACACGTTTTTATATGTAGTAAACTTTAATAACTTACCAATTTCTTCTTGTGATGAGGGTGGATTTAGATCTGCCACAGAGTACTGTTCATTAAACTGGAAAATAATTACTTGTGAAATCAATAGAACAGTATATTTAATATATTTGACACTAGAGTCTGGTGCTTTTAGTATATAAAATTAGGGTAGACATAAAAGCAACTTTCATAATACCAAACTATAGGACTTAAGAAGCATTCTCTCTTTGTGCTGGGTTCAGGTGGTTATGAGCTGCTTGACACGGGTGCTGGAAACCTAGCTCAGATCCTCTAGAAAGGCAGCAACTGTTCTTAACTGCCGAACCATCTCTCCAGCCCCAAGACTGATTGATAAATATAAATAAATTAATGAATAAATATGAATCTAGGTCATCTGAACTTAAAAATAAAAAGATAGCAGAGAACTTTGCTATACTATCAATACTCAGAACATCTTTCCATTCTGAAGGTGGAACTCAAGCACACTAGGCAAGAACTGCACAGTCATGCTACATCCTTAGCCTAATCAATATTCAATATTTTCCTAAAGCTTCCTGTTAGCATTCTGTTCCAAGAAAGTTTCACTAAAGAGCTAAAATTGACTAAAGAACTAAAGTTTGACTGAAGAACTAAACTTACCTAAGCTCCAGTGTATAGTCGTTAGAAATAAAACATTAGCTTCTCACTTTACCTGATCTGGTATGGTGTCCACATCGGATACAGAAGAACCAAATAAATTCAGTCCAGGTGATACCGAAGTATGACTTGTAAGAAATGAAAATCCAGGAGAATCCTTTTGTTTTTGTCCTTGAGGTACTACATTTCTATGTCTGTTACAGAGAGATTTTTTTTTTAAATCACCAAAATGTTACAAATTTATTATTAAACAATGCAGACTGATAAGCATCAAAAGCAATGGCGTATCAGTACAAATTAGAGAAAGGTAGGGAATAGTTTTCATACTGACAAATTCATGGAGAAAGGATGGTTTTGGTGGAGAATAATGTAGAAAAATCAATTCGAGGATAACTGCGAACACTTATGAAAATATGTTGTCAGGCACTATTCTAGGTACTTCTGTTAAGTGTTAATTACCTATTTCTCACAATGACTTAACGAAACAGGTACTGCTACTGTCACTTTTGTTTGATAGTAAAAAGAAATACGAGGTATAGAACAGGTAAATGATTTGCATAAGAGTTGTGAACTGAGTGTGGTGGTGCGTGCCTTTAATCCCAGCACTTGGGAGGCAGAAGCCAGCAGTTTCTGTGAGATTGAGGGTGCCTGGTCTATATAGTGAGTTCTAGGTCAGCTGTGGCTACAGGAACACCCAGTCTCAAAAACAAAACAAAACAAAACATAAAACAAAACAAAAACCCCAAAAGTGAATGCTATAGTTGAAATTTAGAAAAAAAATTTCTAAGCTCTTAACCTGACACTGTTTTCAAGATCTTGAAAGTCAGTCATAACATGTGTTTTAATGAGAATTCAGTCATTACAGTATTGCATAAGGGAGGTAAATTATAAATTATTTGGAATAAATAATTACAACTACACAAGATAGTATATAATACAGAGCCAGAATGGTGTGGGCTTGAAATCTCAACACCGATTGTAGGAATGACTTTTACAATATGGACGTAATCTGGACTAAAGAGTTTTACCTAATTTTGTAACCAAAAAGTTATTGTTTACAATGTAAACAAGCTTACTGAATCATCTGCCCCTCTTTTGATCTGAGTACCTGATGTTAATCCCTCAGGCTCCCACCTTGCCCTGCACCCAAGATAGTGAATGAATGTGGGCTTGCATGATTAATATATCAAAGTGCTGAAAGTGCCATGCTTTTCTCATTGCAAACAGTGAAAAAAATTGAGAAATCTGTTTGTAATTTGTGTGTGTGTGTGTGTGCGTGTGCGTGTGCGTGTGCGTGTGTGTGTGTGTGTGCGTGTGTGTGTGTGTGTGCTATTCTAGGCCCAGGGATCAAAGGGAAAATTTTTCTGATAAGGTCAGGGTAGGATCTAGCTTCTACTCCCTCAATTCATGCTAGAGATACTGTTTCAGTAAAAGGTGAGTGAAACCGGGCTCAAGAGCACAGTTCCAAGAGACATCTGAAGGAACATGTGCTTGGCATTTCGGGTCCACTCTTGACCTTAAAACAAATGCTAAGAGTCAGGTTGTTTCTTATTCAAATGTAATTTTAATGTGGCTTAGAAATGCCACAACTGACTAGTCATATATCACCCATGATTATGTTTCCTCATCTATAAAATAAAAATAATAGTGTACCAATAATTCACATAGTTGACTGAATATAAAATGAACAGTATAAAGTGCCCAAGAACAGTGGCTTACACAAAGCACTCTACAAACTGTTTTAAAAATATAATGTGGCTGGGTGTAATGATGCACGCCTTTAATGCCAGCATTCAGGAGGCAGAGACAGGCAGGCAGATCTCTGTGAGACTGAGGCCATCCTGGTCTACATATCAAGTTCCAGGCCAGCTGAGGCTACAGAGAGAGCCCATCTCAAAAAAAAAAAAAAAAGGAAAGAAAGAAAGAAAGAAAAAAGAAACCATAAAAAACAAGGAGTGCTCACTTTGACAGCATATACACTAAAACTGGAACAATACAGAAAAGATTAGCATGGTCCCTGAATTAGGATGACGTGCCAATTAATGAAGCATTCCATAATAAAAAAGAAATATATGCATGTGTTTTGTGTGTGTAGTTAATATATATTATGATCTGCAAAGTTTTATGATTCATTTATAACTATAGCTATCTCTCTGACCATAAATGAATCACACAATTTTGCAGATCATAATTTTCTTATCCACAGATAGTTTTTAGTATATGATATGACACTCTTTCACAATTTCAGGATTTGATGATGAGTTCTACTTTGAATACATCATGTTTGAGTCAAATGCAGGACATTCACATATAAAACTCTTACTAGCTATTTAAAATACCGGCCTACAGCACAGTTGAGAGAGATATTGATGAGGGAAAATCTGACCTATGTCTCAGAGGAACCTCAGAGTTTACTGTTAAGAGATTGACTGAACCCAAAAGTGAAATGCAGCACTATTTTCTTGCTTGAACACTCTAAATCAGGTTGGTTTCCAACATATTAATATTATAAGCAATTATGCCTTAGACAGAATTGGAATTTTTGATTCAGACACAACATATGGAAAATGTCTTCTAGAACATTACTCAATTATAAATCTACAATCTACCACCTGTGAAAATAGTTCTTTTGCTTGGCATTTTAAGTTTTGCAAGTTTTTATCCTTTGTAAAATCTTAAACCTATATACTGTGCACTGGATAAATATTCAGGATCTATGTCATCTTCAACTGACTGGTACAGGAGAAACAGGGAGGAAAATCGATGAAACAAGAATGCAAACCAGTAATTGTTCAAACAGGCTCATGGGTAACATGAAAGCTTATACTAGTGTCTCCCTTGTTTTCATGACTGAAATACTTCATAACAAAATCTTTCCAAGTTCTAGCTAAGAAGGCACTTTACTATTCCAATAAATTATTTAAATAACTTAATGTATAAACAATTCAATTACAATGATTAATAAAAATCTTACATTTCAAGTAAGGGGCTTTTAGGGTACTGCACTTTTTGCAGAGATTCAGGTGTCTTCACAGCTTCAGGAGTTCTTAAAAACAAAGGAGTTGTAGGAGTTGGTGAAAATTTATCAGCTCCTTCTTCTACTTCACCACTATTATCTTCTATTGACTTTCCAAAGTGTTGTATATATATGGTCTGTGAATGCAAAGTAACAGAAAACTTTTAACAATGTATGTTATTGTATTAATAAAATAATACAAATGTAATGCATAAAGTAGAATATACCATATTAACCTGCTTTCAATTCCTAGATAAAATAAGTAAAATAAGAAGCTTTGTCTACATCTATCATCATTAAATCTTTCCACTATACAAAAATACTATCAAGATACTTTCATGGCAACCAATGGTCTTGAATCATCATAGCAAGTTATTCAATCTTACCAAACAAAATTATTTTCTTCGATTATGATTTAGTTTTGTTCTCAACGTGTCATCATTTATGAATGACAACTTTTTGTATTTCTTTATGTAAACTTCTGTGCCTTCATTCTGAAAAATAGAATTTCTAACTTCTTAGAAAGCTGACTTCTAACCCAGTAGCATCTCATATAAAGAATCCTCATTGTACTAAATCTGAAATTAAAATGAACACAGAAATTTTTGTTTGTTTGTTTTTTGAGATGGTCTCATTTTGTAGCCCCAGCTGGCCTACATGTATATAGACCAGGCTGGCCTTGAATGCAAAGATCTGCCTACCTCTGCCTATCAAGTACTGGGATTAAAGGCCTGAGCCACCACAATGGGCTACAGAATCTTTTTAAATTCAGATGTTTTGCTTAGAAATTAGAAATCCAACATTTGACTTACTTGTGGAATACACTTTGATTCTTTTAGTTGTCTTACTGCTCCTTTATCTCCACACTCAGCATCTGTTTGTTATATAAGAGTGAACTACTTTCATTTATGCAATTTTATTATGAAATTAAACATGCTACATTAACTGTATGAAATTGCCAATATCTGCTTAACATAAAAATGACAATTTCATATAGTTTTGCCAAATAAATACAAAGAGTCAAATAAAAATAAAGAGAACAAAATAAAATAGTAACAGTTTATCAAAATTATAAGAGAACACCATGTAACCATCACCCAGATAAAGAAACAACATCAGGAACACTCCAAAAGTTCTCATTTTCCCATGTCCTTTTCTTTAAAAGTAATTCCTATCCTTGCCTTTGATGATAATAATTTCATAAGTTTTATCACCTAAATATCTTATTTTTTCTTTTTAAAATGTCATGAAGAAACTTAATATATGCGCTCTTATGCTTTGCTTTTTTGTTTAGCATGTTTGTGAGATTCCTCCATATTACTGTATAGAGATAGAATTTTCTCCTTATTCCTGATGTTGT